ATACATCCAGTCCCCTTCATATCAATTTGAATGTGCTTTTTATATTCTAATACCTCTTCCCATTGATACCTTGTGATCAGATAGCATGGTGTGCTTCTTCCATGTGGCCTTTACTGCTTTCCTGCTAGATGGCTGCTTGTTTAACTCCAAGCCTTTAAGATCCCAGATGCTATAACTTTTGATAGCCGGGCATCATCAGCTTTCTTCACCACATTTGCTTCTGCATCCATTTTGTCTTCAGCTATTGTGTCAGGGAGCTGGGTGTCATACAGCAACACATTATGTGGACAAACCATTCTTTTATAGATGTAAGCTTTAAGTAGAGGCCCAAGTCCATCTGCTTCATTGTTGAATTTAAATATAAACATATATAAACAAACATACACATATTCATATATATATATATGAGTTTGGTTTTTGTTTTTTCCTCCTCCCCCACTATTATGCTTGCCTGTCATTCACCTCTCAGTAATTCCTCTCAGATACAATTTAATTCATCAACACCCAGAAAAGCTACACCCTCCTTGTGGTCCATTTTATAACTCTTACTATTCCCCAGTACTCATCATTGTTGGCTCCATGCTCACCCCCAAATCTCCCTTCCCATGTTCCCCAGGAACCATTGGTCCAGCCACTGCCTCCATAAGACTACCCAACCTACTTTTCTTGTATAGATCAGCCCTCAAAATAATATTAATATAAAAACAAAAAAATACCACAACATGCAGTTAGCCACAAGACAGACAGGGATCATGGCTTAGAGCCACATTCGTGTCCGAAAGGTGAGTTTCTCATAGGTCTACGTTGATATTCCTGTAGTCCAGGATGGAGTGGTCTCGTGGTCCCCCCCCCCCCCTTTTTTTTTTTTTTTTACACCTTAGACTTTCAGTGTGGCCTCCTTGTGAGTAATCCCCAACCAGTTCTGGTGCGGTGACAAGTGCTGTCCTCCCACAACTGGGGTTCAAAACCCACAATTGATGTTCTTTGGGGACTTCGTGACTTCACTCCCATCACTGATCTGTTGCACTCCCCTTCCTGGTCTGCCCCCGCCAGGTGATACTTGCTGTCATCTGGGGAGAGGATGCCATGTCTCAGGCTGAGGCTGCCCCTGCAGTCATCTCTGGGAATGAGCTGCTCCTCTCAGGAATATTGCACTTGTGGATTGGCATGCTGGAATGAGGTCCACTTCTGCTTTGCCTTTCCTGTAGAGACACAAGCAGTACCCTCCCCTTGGGTTGGTTAGTGCCCTGAACCCCCATTGCCTTTGTGTTTCTTCCCCTACCCCTCTGTGGGCCTTTAAACATGAGAGGGAGGGAGAAGATGCCTTTCATCTCAGGTGCTATCTGCATCTGTGGTTTATGGCATATGAATCTTTGGGTTTGATCCTCCTCTTGCCATAATATCTGGTCCTCAGCCTGGGAATTGTGTGTTATGCATGTTTTCCCTTATATCCATCTGCTGTTTGAACTTACCTCAGTGGATTCATGTTCTACTTGTCCTTTTGTGCATGGCTAACCTTACTCAGCACAATCTCCAACTCTTACTATGAGATGAGGTGTTTCATCATTTCACCAGTATTTTTTAGGGATGCATAGTATTCCTTCGTGTGCTTATACCAGTATTTTAATCCATTCATCTATTGATGGAAATTTAGGCTGCTCCCAACTTTTTGCAATTGTGAACTGTGCAGTGATGAACATTGGAAATTTAGGCTGCTTCCATTTTTTGCAATTGTGAACTGCGCAGTGACGAACATTGGAAATTTAGGCTGCTTCCATTCTTTGCAATTGTGAACTGCGCAGTGACGAACATTGGGGAGCAGATATCTGGTTGCGGTCTGTTTCTTCTGGGTATATATGCCCAGTAGGGGGATTGCTGGGTCATATGGTAACTCAATTTCCATATGTTTTAGGAATCACCAAATAGATTTCCAGTGGCTATACGTATCTACAAGACCACCAGTAGTACAGGAGAGTCCTCTCTCACCACACCCCCTCCAACATTTATTTCTTTGTTTTTTTTAATTGGGCTATCATTGTCAGTGTTAGATGTTATCTCATAGTTGTTTTGATTTGCATTTCCTGCATGGCTAATGATTGGGAACATTTTTTCATGTTTATTGGCCATTCAGGTTTCCTCCTTTGTGAATCCTCTGTTCAAGTCTTGCTCACCTTCCTCAGTGGGTTATTTGGTTTTTTGTTTTGTTTTTCTTATAAGCTTGCAGGATTCTGTAGATGTTAGTAATAAGCCCTTTGTCTGATATGATATGTCAAATATCTTTTCCCAGTCTGTGGGCTCTCGTTACTCTCTTGATGAAGTCTTTCGATGTGCACGTTTTTTATCTTTAGAATGCCCTATTCATCTATTTTATCTTCCTCTGGATGTGTATCCTTTATTTCTGATAGCCCACGTATTCCCTGCTCTAAGATTCTTAGCTCTTTCCCAATCCTCTCGTTGAGGATCCTAATAGTTTTGGATTTTACCTCAAGGTCTGTGAGCCACCTTGAATGTGTTCTTGTGCATGGAGTGAGGCAAAGACTTTGTTTCATTCTTCTGCAGCTGTCCAGTTTTTCTAACACCGTTTGTTGAAAAGGGCATCTGCTTCCGATTTGATACTTTTTGGGCCTTTGTCAAAGATCAGTTGTCTATATTCTGCTGTTTTATTTCTGGATTTTCTATTCTTAATCCATTGGTCTGAGTATTTATCATTGTACTAGCATCATGCTGTTTTGACAACCGTGGGTGTATAATAGATTTTGAAGTTCAGTAATGCTAGCCCGCCCACTTTATTCTTCATGAGGATTTGCCAATCTGGGGCTTTTACCCTTTCCATATGAAGTTGGTAGTCATTTTTTCATTTCTTTGAAAAATGATGTTGGAATTTGTATTTGGATTGCATTCAATTTATATAGTACCTTGGGAGGACTGACATCTTCACAATATTGAGTCTAATGATCCATGAGCATGGGATATTCTTCCACTTGTGAAAATCCCTTTCGTTTTCTTGTTAAAATGTTCTATTGTTTTCCTCATCCAGATCCTTTGTTTGTTTGTTTTTGTTGTTGTTGTTGTTAGGTATATCCCTAGATATTTTAACTTATGCTTGGCAATTGTGAAGGGTACTACCTTCTCGATCTCCTTTTCTGTAATCCCTTCAGTGATATATATTCAATTGACTTCTGATTGTTGATCTTATATCCTGCCACTCTACCATATTCCTCTATCGTTTCCAGCAATTCTATTGTGGTGTCTTTAGGGTTCACAATATATAAAATCATGTCATCTGCAAATAGCAATAATTTCACTTCTTTTCCCAAGCATATTCTTTGTTATCCTTCGGTTGCCTTATATTATTAGCTAGAACCGCCAAGACGATATTGAATAGAAGTGGGGACAAGGGGCATCCTTGTCGGGTCCCCTTATTCAGTGGGAATGTTCTTGTTTTTTCTCCGTTAATTGTAACGCTAGCTGTTGGTTTTTCATATGTAGCTTTTATGATGTTAAGGTAAGTTCCTTTTAATCCTTTCCTCTTGAGGGTCTTAATTAGGAATGGGTATGGAATGTTGTCAAATGCTTTTTCTGCATCTAGTGATATTATCATGTGGTTCTTGACCTTTTTCTTATTACTTTGATGAATAATGTTGACGTTTTTTTGAATGTTGAACCATCCCTGGTATGAATCCCACTTGGTCATGATGGATTATTTTTTTGATATGTTTTTGTATCTATTGGCCAGCATTTTGCTGAGGATTTTTGCATCAATCAGTTAAAGTATTTTTGCCAGTTTATTTGCAACAGGAAGTGGCTATGTAGCATAGTTCTGGCCATTAGGCTGTAGCAGAATTGCTGGGTGAAATAGCGGGAAAATCTCTTTAAAAGGTGGGGCAACTCAATTGACAAATGTTTCCCCCTTTTTCTTCCTGCCTACAATAGGCTATATCTAAAAGGGATTGAAGATGTGGATCAACTATTATTGTGACACAAGTGACAAACAGCCACATATAATAGAAATTGCCAGGGTCCCATGGTATCATAAAGCTACCATAACAACTATCGACTGCCCAACTCTAGATTTCTTGACAATAGAACAATCAGTTTGATTAGGCAGGTTTTCAGTAACTCAGAGTCAGTGTAATTCTAGCTAGCAGTGACTGTGTTAGATGGCATGGACTCTATTCTGACTCCCAATGACTCCGGGAGTGAAACACTGCCTATTCCTGCACCATTCTCACAATAATTACTATGTTTGAATACTGTTGCAGTCACTGAGTCAATATATCCTGTTTTGAGTGTTTCCCCCACCCCCACCCCCCCGCCCCCCCATTGTCCCTGGACTTTACCAAGCATGCTATCTTGGACTGGTTTTCATTTTCTTCTTCCACTTCCACTTCAGCTTTCATAGAAGCAATTGGTCACAATAACTGGTCGTATTAATCTTACAAGTAGACTGTGCTGTCCAGGGCTGCACTCTGTTCTAATACCGGAGGCGGGGCTTCAAAAAGTTGATGGGAAATGGAACGAAAAGATACTGGGGGGGAAAAAAAAGAAAAGATATTGGAGTTTTTCTACAAAAATTTTTGAAGCCTCCTCATATATAGTACCCAAGACGTATCTGTCAACTTTTTCTACTGTGTTCGTCTGCATGTTTCTATGATACCATGCTACTGGCATTTCAAATGCCAGCAGGGTAACCCATGGTGGACTGGTTTCAGTGAAGCTTCCAGACTAAGAAAGGACTGGTGATCTTTCAAATATTAGCAAATGGAAACCATAGAAATCAGAGTAAACATTGTCTCTTCCTGGCTTTGGGTATGTCATCAGGAGGAGCCAGTCAGTGGAGGAGGGCACCAGGGATTCTGTTGGAGAATCACTGAGGGTGAGGAAGACCTTTGTTGAGATGGGTTGACACAGTAGTCACCAATATGGACGAGAACATGCTGGCAATTGTGAATAAGTGTAAATGAACAAAAACTTTAGTGGATGTGTTTTTCTTTTAATAGGTCTGAATGGACAGATGAATTAAATACGTACAGAGTGGAAGCAGCTTGGAAATTGTCACAGTGGGATTTGGTGGAAAGCTATTTGGCAGCAGGTTAAGTTTACTCCTTTTTTTTTTTCCAGCAGTTTTATTGGCTTATAATTCACATAGTATACAATTCAATAGTTCAGTCACATCAAGAAGAGTTGTACAGTCATTGCCACAATCAGTTTTAGAACAGTGTTCTAAATTTACTTTCTAAAATTTAAGTTATTTTAATACTCTATATTCAGTCTTAAGTGTCCAAGCAACATTCATAATTAATATCTTAGTCTGTTTGATGATTGCTTTCTCAGTTGTTTTAAGATAGAATGAAGACTTCTGTTTGGTATTTTTGTTGAAGTAGCCAAATGCCAATCACCATAGCATCCCTGATTCTTTATTTGTCTTTCAGATGGAAAATCTACAACATGGAGTGTCAGACTTGGACAGTTATTGTTATCAGCCAAAAAAAGAGACGCCTCAGCTTTCTGTGACACGCTGAAACTCGTGAGAGCAGAGCAGATCGTCCCTCTTTCAGCTGCAAGCTTCGAAAGAGGCTCTTACCAACGAGGATATGAATACATTGTGAGGTGTTTGAGGGTTCATTGTTATATTTCTGGTCTGTAAATGTAATCTGATGGGCTTGGAATTCTTTGAGGAGTAAATAATTTTGATAGTATGTTTGTTACTAGTATGTCATAAACAAAATGGCTCTTTCATTCTTTTTATCTCATTTTAACCCTTTAAAATATATTTTTAAAATGCTCAACATAATCTTTTACCTAAAAAGGCAATTATGAGACATAAAACTAAGAACTTATTTTTAACGTAAAAAATAAGTCTTACGTTTGACTTCTCGCACTGTCATTGTTTACTTTTCATATTATAACCAGCCTAAGTAAGCCAGACACTTAGACTACAATGAGTGCTGTGCAGTGCTTGTCAATCCCTTCTTGAAAATGCATTGATTCACAGAGGCATTATATTACTCTAAATAAATATTAGTTTTTATAGATAAGATAAACATTATAGTGAACATTTTAGGTCTATTGACTCAAATGAGAAAAATTATAAAATAGATGTTGAACTCTTAAAATAAATTTTTGAAATCAAGTTTGTTGTTTTTTTTTTACTTAATAATTTTATTGGGGGCTCATACAACTCTTAGCACAATCCATACATACATCTATCGTGTCAAGCACATTTGTATATTTGTTGCCATCATCATTCTCAAAACATTTTCTTTCTAGCCCTTGGTATCAGCTCCTCATTTTTTCCCTTCCCTCCTTGCCTCGCCACCCTCACTAACCCTTGATAATTTATAAATTATTATTATTTCGTCATCTCTTACACTGTCTGATGTCTCCCTTCGCCTACTTTTCTGTTGCCTGTCACCCAGGGCAACATGTAGGGTTATATGTTGATCCTTATGATCGATTCCCCTTTTCTCCCCTACCTTCCCCGTACCCTCCTGTATCACTACTCTCATTATTGGTGCTGGAGGTTTATCTGTCCTGGATTCGCTGTGTTTTCAGTTCTTATCTGTACCAGTGTACATCTGGTCTAGCCAGGTTTGTAAGGTAGAATTGGGATCATGATATTGGGGGGTGGGGTGGGGGGGGTGGAAACATTAAAGAACTAAAGGAAAGTTGTACGTTTTCATCGTTGCTACACTGCACTGACTCATCTCCTCCCCGTGACCCTTCTGTAAGGGGATGTCCAGTTGCCTTCAAATGGGCTTTGGGTCTCCACTCCTTACTCCCTATCATTCACAATGATATGGAAATCAAGGGTTTTTTTCCTCCCTTAGTTAGAATTCGTTATTCTTTATATCAGCCCTTTAGTAACAGTTTCATGACCACTGAGCTTGATGCTCTTTGCTTCCTTAACTGCATCCTTCTGCTTTGAACTTTGACTCATAGAAACTAATCACAATATACAGAAAGGGTGGAGCTAGTGTAAACATTTTACAATTTCTATCACTCTTAGGGAAAAAATAGATTCAAAGCATATTCATTTCACATTTTAAAATATTTGGATTTACTGTGCCAGGCCCTATAATAGTAGAAGCATTGGATGCAAAAATTTCACACTGATTTACAATGAATTCTTCTGTCATTTAAAAAAAAAATTTTTTTTGTACTTTGGGTAATAAAAGTTTACAGGAAAAAAAATAATTTCTCATTCTACAGTTTATACATAGAAGTGTTCCGTGACCTTGGTTGTTTTACCCACAGTGTGTCAGTATTCATTTCTACCCTGGCTGGGTTCCCGTTTCCTTTTATCTGAATTTTCTATCCGTTTGTGCCTTTTCTTCTTTGCTTTTGAGCAGTTGCTGTCCTTTTGATCTTGTATAATTGATTGTTTTGAGGAACATGTTTCCCTGGAGTGTTTTTCTTGTTTTAGGAGCCTGCCTGTTGTTTGTGTCTGAGTTGGTTTCTAGGAATGGCTTCAGTTCCACGTCAGAAGGCTGTCATAGGGCTATGTACTCAGGGATTACTACCATCTCAAGCAGACCAGAAACTGGTTTTATTGTGAATTTCATTTTTTCCCCTTGCATTTTTCTTCTGTTCTGTCCATGACTTTGTTGTGATTCCTGTCAGAGTGATTGGTAGTGGTAGCAGACACTAATTCTTCTGGTCATAAAGACTGTGGCTCATGTAGTCAATCATTGTTTGCACTAATTACTCCCTTGAGTTTTTTGCTTTCTTTACTGCCTTTTTCTCTGAATGCAAGGAGACCAATATTTGTATTTTAGATAACAGCTGGCAAACTCGTAACACTCCAGGTGCTACTCACTAAAGTAGGATGCAGAACATTATCTTTATGAACCATGTTGTGCCAATTGATTCAGATGTCTCCCTAGTCTATTGACCTTTGCCTTCAAGCCTAGGAACTTTGTCCCACAAGGTATTTATTTCTAAGCAGTTTCTATGACAGTGCCCTTGTGTGTTCTTTTGTTTTTATTAATATACATGTTGTGTTGTTGTTGCTAGGTGCCATCAAGTTGGTTCCGACCCATGCAACCCACAACAGAATGAAACACTGCTTGGTCCTTCACCATTCTCACAATTGCTCCTATGCCTGAACCCATTGTTGTAGCCATTGTGTCAGTCCATCTCACTGAGGGCTTCCCTATTTTCCACTGCCCCTCTGTGTTGCTGAGCATGATGTCCTTCTCGTGGGACTGGTTTCTTCTGACAATATGGCCAAAGTAGTGTAAGACAAAATCATGTCATCCTTGCCTATAAGGAGCATTCTGGGCCATACTTATTCCAGGATAAATCAATATGCCCTTTTAGCAGACTATGGTACTTAAAATATTTTCCAGCGTTAAAATTCAAATGCACCACTTCTTTTACTGTCTGCCTTATTCAGTGTCCAACTTTCACATGCATATGAGGCATTGGAAAATATCATGGCTTGGGTCAGGCACACCTTAGTGCTCAAAGTAACATCCTTGCTTTGCAATTCTCTAAAGCAGCAGTTCTCAACTTGTGGGTTGAAAGGTGGTGGTGGTGGTGGGGGGGGTTGCCCAATTCATGACAGTAGGGAAATGACAGTTATGAAGTAGCAATGAAAATAATTTTATGGTTGGGAGTCACCACAACATGAGGGACTGTTTTAAAGGGTTTCGACATTCAGAAGGTCGAGAACCTGCTCTAAAGGGATCTTGTGTTTACTGGATACAATTATGTATGCACACATACCCCACACACTTCTTTAGCATACATATCTACTTATATATCCATTTGTAAACTATTTCTTGTTAATACTATTATTGTAGGATTTCTCACAATTCAACCCACCAGCCTCTGGGAAAAAATGAGGCTTTCTACTTGCAGAAAGACTTACAATTTTGAAAAACCACATGAACTCACTCTGTCATGTAGGGTTGTGTGTTACAGTAATTGCCATAGTTGCCCATTATTCGTGCATTTATATCACTGTCTTCCTTTGCCTTGGTCATCTTGTGCTGATTTCCCCCGTATTGTGTATTGCCTTTTCCTTTACCATATTTTCATGTCTTTTATTTCCTCTCCCATTGAGCCCTGGTGGCACATTGGATTAAGTATTGAATTTGCTACCCTAGAAATCTCTGATTCAACTCATCATCTGTTCCATGGGACAAAAATGAGCTTTTCTGTTCCCTGAAACATTCATTCTCTCAGAAACTCACAGAGGCAGTTCTACTGTGTCCTAAAAGGGTTGCTATAAGTCAGGTCGCAATGAAGTCAGTGTATGTGCTTGACAATCATCAAATGATTAATTTTTTCCTGCATGTAAATCTTGTTGGTTTTTATTTTTTAATTGTGGTCTCATAACATTTGACCTTTTATGATTGACTTATTCATTAAGTTTAATGTCCTGCAAATTTATCCTTGTGAGCTATTTCATGGATTTGTTTTTATCCTTTAGCACTGTGAAGTGTTCCGTTGAGTGTATGTACCAGTTTGTTTATTCATGTATTTGTTGATGGGCACTTAGGTTGTTTCCGTCTTTTTGCTGTTGTGAATAATGCCGTAATGAACTTATTAGCTCATTTCATGCCTTGACGCCTCTATTTCTTTAAAGTACATACATAGCCGTGGGATTGCTGGATCACATTTCATGTCTAACATTTTAAGGAAGCGCTCCTTTATTTTTTTATGGCAGTTGTACCATTTTTATTCTCAATAGCAGGGTCTAAGAGTTCTGTTTTCTCTACTGTGTCACCAACATTCTTTATTTTCTATTTTCTTCTTAGTATTATCATTAATGTCGGAGGGGGATTGTATCATTGCAAGTTTGATTTGCATCTCTGTAATTGCTGATGATTGTGAGATCTATTTCTTCATGTGTTTGTTAATCACCAGGATGTCTTCTGTGATGATGTGTCCATTCTTTTCCTATGCCCATTTTTTTATTTGGATTGTTTGTGTTTTTGTTGTTGAGGTTTTAAATAAACTTTAGAGTTAAGACCCTTTCACTACAGTCAAAAATGTTTTTCCAGTATGTAAGTTGTCTTTTTATACTTTTGGAGGAGTCTTTTGAGAGTATATGAGAGGACTTCAAAATGTTTGTGGGAAATTACCATTATCTTTTCATTCTAGTCCTTCCATGAACTTTTTGAAACCCCCATAATTAGTTTGTAGTAGATCTCATTTGTCTGGTTCATCTGCTGCTGTTTTCACATTTTTATTTGTGTTTGTATTCTTTTTATGCCATATGTTAGAGTTCCTAGAATTGTCCCTATTTTAATTACATGATCTTTATAGCTTTACGTTTTATATTTAGGTCTTTGATTCATCTTAAGTTAGTTTTTGTGTATGTTATGAGGTATGGCCCTGTTTCATTTTCTACATATAGATATCTAGTTAAAGATATTATCTCATCTATTTAGTGGATGTTGACGGTTTGTAGATCCATATATTTTTTCATATCTTCATGTAGGGATAAGGATAGATTTTTATGCATTTTAAATTTAATCATATATATCCCTCCCCAATTATAGGAACGTAGGAATAAGACAAAAGCTCTAAACATTTAAACCAATAAAGCTTCCAAAACCTTGTGGGAAAATTCCATTATCTCTTAATTCAATTATTCCATGAACTCTTTGAAGCTCCCTCATAAGTGGTACTGTTTTTATGTCAAGAATATATGTTTACAACTAACAATAAAAAAGAGTATGTTTATTGAAATTTTTCCAAAGAAAACTGCACATTTCAAATTCCTCAAGAATTTGAATTCTGATTAAAAGTACATAGTTTATATATGAGATTCATAAGAGGAACTGTTATAAAATATTAACATAGATTCTGTCTATCTTCAGGTTGCATATGTTGTGTGAGTTGGAGCACAGCATCAAACCACTTTTTCAGCAATCTCTAGATGTTAGTGCTCAAGAAGAGTCTCTAAACTGGGTAGCACGACTAGAAATGACCCAGAATTCCTACAGAGCTAAGGAACCCATCCTTGCCCTCCGGAGGACTTTATTAAGTCTCAACAAAAGGTTTCCATGTTACTTTTTTGTTATTTTGAATATAGCATTGTTTGCATTTTATTTTCTAGTACTGTCTCTTCAAGTTATAAACCTGTCCACATATGATCAACTTTATGTTTGTCCTTTACTGTTATGTAAATTTGTCCTCACTTGAACCAACCTCTACTTGCAATGACTTCTGCATCACAATCAACTTACTGCATGTGCAGCTTTTAAATCATCAACAAAAGACTTCAAGCCTTTCTTACACTAAAGTAAGGCTAAATAAGACTTGTTTGCTCCATTTTGACTCAGGGACACACTTAGGAACAGCTCTTGCTTGCAATCCATGGGCTGCCTATATTTGATTTCTTAATTTTCTGTATGAAACTGTATTTTTTAAATTGTCAGTTATCAAAGCTAATCTCTATAGTTGAAATTAGCCTAGAATTTAAGAATTGTGTGTATATGTGTGTGTGTTGTTTCATATTTAACAAAAAATCTAGGGAAGATTTTGGTAAAAGTAAAAAAAATAACGTTGTAAAGACTTTTGATGGACTAGAATGGAGCACTCTAAGTAATTAAAATTAGCTTTTAAAAACAAACTGATCTTTGACTCCTTTTAAGTAGTGTTTTGAATAAGTTATATATGTAGGATAGCTGTTTCATTAAGCCTGTGGATACACTTATACTTGCTGTCTCTCCTCCCCTCCCTTTTTGTCATTTCTTTTAGATCCGATTACAGTGAAATGGTTGGAGAATGCTGGCTGCAGAGTGCCAGAGTAGCAAGAAAAGCAGGTCATCACCAAACCGCCTACAACGCTTTGCTCAATGCGGGAGAATCACGGCTCGCGGAACTGTATGTGGAAAGGGCAAAGTGGCTATGGTCTAAGGTAATGACAAAGGAAATCTGATCACCTGTATACCGATAAGGGTTGTGCACTTTCTACCAAGGCCAGATGGAGAGAAGAATTTCTCTAAAATTTAGGATCTTATATTCCTGCCACCTATTTTAATCATTTAGGCATTTCTTCTCCCACACTCTGAAGTCCTCAGATATTTTCCAACTTCATGAGTGCCTTTCTGTTTTCTTCTGTTCTCTGGTTTCCTTGAAGACAGAAGCCAACTCTTTAACTCTGCTTTTACTTTTCTTTGTGTGCACAGCGTGTATGAAATAAGGTACTCAGTAAATGAGTACTGGGCTCACTACTAAGATACGCTTGTGATCTGGACTGCCAGGAAGGCCCGAGCATTAGAACATAAACTCAGAACCCAAAGCACTGCCATTGGGTCTATGCTGACTCATAGCGACAGCCCTGTGGGTGTCTACACTGTAACTGTTTACAGGAACAAAAAACCCAGTCTTTCTTCCACAGAGTTGCTAGTGTTTGCGAACTACCGACCTTGCAGGTGTGGCTCAGTGAGTTACCACTATACCACCAGAGTTCTTGTAAATCTCCAAATTAAAATAATAAGAAGGGGGTTGTTTAAATATCTGAACTACTTACCTATTTTATGCCCAATTCCATGTCTGTTGTCCTGCTGCCGCTGTAACCACTGGTTACAATTTGTGATTGCTCTAACTCTCTTCATCACAGTCACATCCATTTTTTGACAAGTTGCTTTTGAAATAATTGAAAATACTGAACATTTCCTTGCACTACGGACAAGGCTCCCAAATGTGGTTGATCATTAGAATCACCTGGGGAACTAGGGAGCTTACAGATCCTGGGCTTTTCCCCCTAGTCTCTAGTCTAGAGCAGTAGTTCTCAACCTTCCTAATGCTGTGACCCTTTAATACAGTTCCTCATTTTGTGACCCCCAACCATAAAATTATTTTCATTGCTACTTCATAACTGTAATTTTGCTTCTGTTCTGAATTGGACGACCCCTGTGAAAGGGTCATTCCACCCACAAAAGGGTTGCGATCCATAGGTTGAGAACCACTGCTTTACAGAAACACATCAGCTAAACCATATTTTTATGGTTGGGGGGTCACTACAACATGAGGAACTGTATTAAAGGGTTGTGGCCTTACAAAGGTTGAGAACCACTGGTCTGAATCATTAGGTTGCAAATACAGCCCCAGGATCTTTTGCTTCACCAGATCCCCAGGTAGTCCCAGTATTTGCCAAGTTTGGGAGCATAAGCACTAAAAACTCAGACTCACTGCCATCAAGTCAATCTCGACTCACAGAAACCCTATAGAACAGGGTAGAGACTGTAAATCTTTACACAAGTAGAAAGCCTTGTCTTTCCCCCACAGAGTTGTTGGTGGTTTTGAATTGCTCACATTGTGGCCCAATATGTAACCCACTATGCCACTAGACCTCTGATTAGACGTGAACTCACTGCCATCAAGGCAAATCAGACTCAATGATCTTATAGGACAGGGTAGAACTAACTTTGAGTTTCTGAGACTGTTTATGGGAGTATAGAGCCCTGTCATTATTCCTCAGAGCAGCTGTTGTGTTTGAACTGCTGACCTTGCAGTTAGCAGCCCAACACATAACCACTATGCCACCAGGGCTCCATTAGACACTAAAGGAAGGCTAAATAAGAACCATGTGCACCTGTTCTGAGTCCCCTATAAATTCTACTTAAACACACTGTTAGCGTCTGATCTCATTAGTTACCCGAGGACCGTCCACATAAAGTGGAATTCATCAAGTAATACTCAAAACTTTTTTCTCCTCATATTCCCTGCTTTTTCCCTAAATAAGACTTACTTTGTTTACTCAACTATGACAAATCTTGGAGTCATCTTGAACTCCCTCTTCTTCATGCTCCATGTCCACTGTGGACTAAATCACTGTATTTACACCTTAGAACACTTGACTCTTCTCTTATGTTCATTGTTAACATTGACAAGACTTACCACTGACAAGACTTACTTAATAACATTTTTTTTATCATGAAATCATACTTTATTCAGGCTCCTTGTCTAATTTTGTACATAACTTGATTTTCCAGTGTTCTTTTTCATTCAGTATGTAGTATAAATTTCTACATGGTTCTACACTTCTCTTCAGTGGCCTGACCTTGATTTCTTTGGTCTAAATTCTCTCTTTTTTTAAATCATTTTATTAGGGGCTCATAGGATTCTTATCACAATCCATACATACATCAATTGTGTAAAGCACATTTGTACATTCATTGCCCTCATCATTCTCAAAATATTTCCTCTCCACTTAAGCCCCGGCATTAGGTTCTCATTTTTCCCCTCCCTCCCCACTCGCCCCTCCCTCATGAGCCCTTGATAATTTATAAATTATTATTTTGTCATATCTTGCCCTGTCCGACATCTCCCTTCACCCACTTTTCTGTTGTCCATCCCCCAGGGAGGAGGTCACATATATTCCTTGTAATCGGCTCCCTCTTTCCAACCCACCCACCCTCCACACTCCCAATATTGCCACTCACACCACTGGTCCTGAAGGGATCATCCGCCCTGGATTCCGTGTGATTCCAGTTCCTATCTGTACCAGTGTACATCCTCTGGTCTAGCCAGACTTGCAAGGTAGAATTCGGATCATGATAGTGGGGGCGGGGAGGAAGCATTTAGGAACCAGAGGAGAGTTGTATTTTTCATCGTTGCTACATCGCACCCTAACTGGCTCATCTCCTCCCCGAAACCCCTCTGCAAGGGGATCTCCAGTGGCCTGCTAATGGGCTTTAGGTCTCCACTCCGCATTCCCCCATCATTCACTATGGTAAGATTTTTTTGTTCTGATGATGCCTTATACCTGATCCCTTCGACACCTCGTGATCGTGTAGGCTGGTGTGCTTCTTCCATGTGGGTTTTGTTGCTTCTGAGCTAGATGGCTGCTTGTTTACCTTCAAGCTTTTAAGACCCCAGACGCTATATCTTTTGATTCCTGGACACCATCAGTTTTCTTCACCACATTTGCTTATTTATCCACTTTGTCTTCAGCGGTTGTGTCGGGAAGGTGAGCATCATAGAATGCCAATTTAATAGAAGAAAGTATTCTTGCGTTGAGGGAGTACTTGAGTGGAGGCCCAATGTCCTTCTGCTACCTTAATACTAAACCTATAAGTATAGGCACATAGATCTATTTCCCCATCATCATATATTAACATATCTGCATATGTACATGTCTTTATCTACACCTCTATAAATGCCCTTTGCCTCCCAGCTATTTCCTCTATTTCCCTTGACTTTCCACCTGTCCCACTATCATGCTCAGTCCCCACCAGGGTTTCAGCAGTTCCTCTTGGTTACATTACCCTTGATCATGCCGTACCAGGTCTCCCACACCCACCTCACCACCAATTTGGATCACTTCCTTAACAGCATTTTCTAAGGTCTTGCTACTTCCTATCTACATTCCTGTAGTGATTTTTCAAAAATTCACATTGAATTGAATTATTTTGCGCTCCTGCTTTAGATCCTCAGTTTTTTCCATGCCTTTATTAAGTGTGAACTCTAGAAAGTACACAAAGACCTTTCTCTTGAGCTTCACTTGTTACTATCTCATGAACATTTTAGGCTTCAGGTAAAACCAGACTTTTTGCCCTTCCTGTTTCAGTTTGAATGATTGTTTCTCTACTTACAATGCCTTTTCAGCAGATTCTTTGCTTGGAATTTTATAATAATTTTTTAAGACCTAGTTCAGCTTTTACTTCATGTGACTTCCTTTCCTGTTTCTCTCCTCCATCGTAGTGTATCTCCATACTCCCCAGATAGTCTTTTGTAACATTTATCACCTTGTGTTGTTTGCTTACATAGTTGACTTCCTCATTAAATTATGAACTTTGTAATCCAGTAATTTTGATATATTCATGCTTGTTTATCCCTATCCCTTTACAATACCTATAGCTTTCTGGACTTTGATTGATTGTAAAATTACTGGGTAAATGACTGAATGAATTAATTGGTTTTCTACATGGAAAGAGAGAGGACATTCTTTTAGTGTTTTACTTTATGGGAGAATTAAGAGAAAGAAACATGAAAACTGTAAGTGGGTTTATTCAGAAACATACTTTATCAAGTTTAAATGCCAATTATCTTTTGTTTTTCAAAAACCAGAACTATATCCTTAAAATCACAGGTCTGCTTTTGCCTGATCTTTTCAGGGTGATGTTCACCAGGCACTAATTGTTCTTCAGAAGGGTGTTGAGTTATGTTTTCCTGAAAGTCCAGCACCAACTGAGAGCAAGGACATGTTAATCCATGGTCGAGCTATATTACTAGTAGGACGATTTATGGAAGAAACTGCTAACTTTGAAAGCAATGCAATTATGAAAAAATATAAGGCAAGTATATGGCATGGAATTTCATTTAGAAGCTCTGAGTTTGTTTGTTTTGGGATACAGACAAAATAATTTAAAGTTCATATAGAAGTGTATATGTATACTTAATTTCCAGTAAAGTTTTTTAAACATTGCACAACATAAGTTGGATATGCAGCATAAGTCTGTACATGGAGGAATTATCACAAAATAAATACATTTGTGAAACCACCACCCAAGAGAAATAAAATGGGATGACAGTACAGTATTTGCTGCAAAAGTAAAGATCAGTAAAATTGAAGACATAGCAATAAAAACTTTTCTAAAGGAAATACCCACCCAACAAACCCACTGTTTCTGAGGCTGTAACTCTTTAAAGGAGCAGATAGTTTATCTTTTCTCCTGTGGAGCAGCTGGTGGGAGTTTGAACCATAGACCTGGCAGTTAGTAAGTCAGCATTGCCTGAGCTCTTGAAAAGGAAGCATAAAGAGATAAAAAAGACAAAAACAAAACAAAATAAAAAGCAAACCCAAAGTCTTAGTGGCCTATGTGATAATATTAAACTGTTTAATAGGCATGTAATTAAAATATCAGAAGGAGAGAAAATAATTCAGGAACAGAAAAGATATTTTTTTAAAATAAAAATAAGTGAAACAATATACAGTAGTATTGTCTATTTGATCAGTAGTTATTGTCCTTTATTCATGCCAGACATTAATTATTTGGGAATTCTCTCTTTTTCAAGTAATGACGCTCACAAAGGATTTAGTAATTTTATTAGATCAGGCCTAATGTACATTAGAAGGGGGATTCATCTGACAAAGTTTTAACTGTTCAAGTCAGGTTTATAATTTTGATCTTCTATAGTTATCTTCAATGCACTCTTTTCGGTAACAAGTTTCTTCCCATCTCTCTATTACGGATAGAAGGAAATCACCGGAGCTTTATTTCCTGCGTAGATGTATCGTGGGCTTCCACTTTCGTCCAAAGCCTTCTGAAAACTATGTTCTCACAATTTAGGGTCTTATACTACTCCCTCCTTTGACTTTGGTTATATATTTTTAAATTCTTGAGTTATTAATGTTGGTGTGCTTCTTCCATGTGGTCTTAGTTGCCATCTTACTTAGATGGCTGCTTATTTGGAAACAAGCCTTTAAGACCTCAGATGCTATTTTATCTGAGATCTAGGCACCATCTGATTTCTTCACCACACTTTGCTGTAGCACCCATATCTTCTGTGTTCCCTTCCTGAGGCAAGTAGCATTTGATAAAATTTAACATTCATTTATGATTAAGAGGTTTTAGCAAATTTTAAATAGAAAATTATTTACCATATAAAGAATTTGCTGCCATCGAGTCAATTCTTTTTTTTTCTCAAATTATTTAATAAATGTTTATTTCATTTATATCTTTATTTTATTTTAATAAATCATTTTATTGGGGGCTCTTAAAGCTCTTATAACAATCCATACGAATAATTAGTATTTATGTTGCCATCAGCATTTCTGAAACATTTTCTTTCTACTTGAGCCCTTGGTATCAGCTCTTTTTTTCCCCCTCCCTGTCCTCTACCCTTGTGAACCCTTGATAATTTATAAATTATTTTTATTTTCATATTTTACACCATTCACTCTACCCCTTCACCCAGCTTTCAGTTGTTCGTCCCTCTGGAGAGACGATAACTATTTATAGGAGTAGAAAGCCCAGTTTTTCTTCCAAAGAGCTGATGGTGGTTTTGAACTGCTAATTATATGGATAACAGCCCAACGCTTAACCACTACACTACCAAGACTCTTTATCATATAAAAAGTATCTATAAAAAGTCTACAACTTCTTACTATACTTAACAATACAATGGTGAAAACTTTTACTTTGAGATTGGGAATAAGACAGAGATCCCCATCATTATCATTATCACTTATAACAGCACTATACTGGAGATTATATCCAGTGCAATTAAAAAAAATCACTGCCATCAAATTAATTCCAACTCAGACCTTATAAGAAAAATAGAACTACCCTACGGACTTCTGAGACTATAAATCTTTACAGTAGCAGTAAGATTAACTTTTCTTTAGTGGTGCAAGTAGTGAATTTGTGGGGAAAAAGGTAAGAAGTATAACAGTTGGAACGGAAACTCATTACTACAGATGATATGATTTTGTAGAAATTCAGAAGACTATGGATACATTATTGTAAAGAGTTGAAATTAGTTAAGTTTTTGGATACAAAGTCAGTATAAAAAATATATTGTAATTTTATGTATCAGAAAGAAAGGAATTTAAAAATATGCCATTTACAAGCAAATGATCTTGATCAGCTGGATATGTGTATAGAAAAATAAAGAAGCTTCATTATATATACTTTGTATGTACCTCACACCATAGGCAAATATTTTTTCAAAATGGCTTGTAGACTAGACCCAACCAAAATATAAAATTATAAACTTCAAGATTAAAACATAAAAGAAAACCTTTACCATCTTCTTGTTTATCACTAATTATAAAATAATTTTAAAAAATATAGATTTGATCAATTCTACTTTAGGAAAAAAATATGTTAACAAAATATGTTAAGAAAGGGAAATGGCAAACTATAGACTGGGCAGAAATACTTGCAAAACACATCTGACTGAGAACTTGTATCCAAATCTAAAAAGAACCTTAAAACTTTTTAGACATGCAGTTGGACTTAAAAATGAACAAAAGTGTTAGACATTTAATAAAGAATATGCAAATGGTCAATGAGCACATGAAACCATATTGAACATCCCTTTGAGTCAGTTCTGACTCAGTGACACTATAGGACAGAGTTGGATTTCTAAGATTTTTATATCTTTACAGGAGGAGGCAGCCTAATCTTTCTCCTGAAGAGCTGCTGGTAGGTTTAAGCCACTGTCTTTGTGGTTAGCAGCAAAATTGTAACACATTCCACCACCAGCACTCCTTTGAACATTGTTAGGCTTCAGGAAAAAACAAATTTAAACTACAATGAGCTACCACATTATACATACTGGATAGATAAAATTTAAAGACTCGCAATATATACTATTATAAAAGCTAGAATTCTCATTGGGAATACACCTACCTTATGATTCCTTTACATTCTTTAGGTAAACACCTAGGTGAAAACATATTATTCAAGAGAAGAAATAAAATATGCCCATAAGAAGTCTAAAATTCAAATGTTTTTGGCAAGTTAATTTATAAAAGCTAGGAATAACTTGGTTGGCTCTCCATAGAAGAATGAATGAGACATTGTAATTTATATAATAGAATGAATGCTACTCTGCAATAGGAAGAAATGAATGATATATGCGGCAACATGGATGAATCTCACAGACATACTAATATAAGAAAAGATAGAATAATACATATGAAATACTAGAGCCTGTCTTGAAATTATGGTGATGAATTATAAAAAATGATTATACGAGTGGAGTTTTCTTGCCCTTAAGAACTAGCTCATTATCCCAGCATCATTTCAGGTAAGCCAGTGGGCAACCCACCAGAATTGACCAACCATCCTGAGTGAACTTTTATAATATAGTATCCGTATCCATATTAAAGACATAGTGTGCCTTTGACCTTTCATGCCCAGACATACTTCTCATGGTTCTGATTCTTAATCCTACTTTTCTTTCCAGTATAGGTTTTGTTAAGTTAGTATGAAGTGTTTTCTTTTTTTTTTAATCATTTAATTGGGGGCTCATACAACCCTTATCACCATCCATACATACATCAATTGTGTAAAGCACATTTGTACTTTCATTGCCCTCATCATTCTCAGAACTTTTGCTCTCCACTTAAGCCCCTGGCATCATCTCCTTATTTTTTCCCCTCCCTCCCCGCTCCCCCCCTTCTGATGTGTTTTCTTTATAGGATGTGACCTTGGTCCTACCGGAGTGGGAAGATGGACATTTTTACCTTGCAAAATACTATGACAAATTGATGCCCATGGTCACAGACAATAAAATGGAAAAACAAGGTGATCTCATCCGGTATATAGTACTTCATTTTGGAAGGTGAGCATGAGATCAGACCACTGATTCAATGTTTCTCTTTTGATGAGATGTAAATTTTTCTTTTTTTAATTTTTTCTTTATTTAAAAAAAACTTGTCAAAGGGAAATTTAGTATGTGTATAATTTCTAAAATTTCAACAGTGCCATAAATATACATTGAAAATAAAATATCCTTCCTATTCTGTACATATTTCCATCCTTAGAAATCCAGAACATCTTAAATAATTATATTTAAATGCCAATGGAATGTCTTAATTCAGCCCATTCTGCTAAAAAATATATATGAAAATGACTTGACATTACCCATTTAAACAGTGCTTATCTCAAACTAGTTAACAGTTGAAATAGCTTTTTTTTTTTCAAGTATTAATTTGGGTTTATTGTAGTCAAATAGGATATCCTCTCCTATCCACTATTATATATTGTTTTCTTCTTGAGGTTACACTGATCGTTCATTCTTCTTATCACACCCAAATACTATTCGTCATTTTACATTGAAGAGTAACTTACTTCTGAGCAGGCAGTGCTTTTTTGTGTGTGTGTGTGTGCGCATTTTTTTAAAAGTTGCCTACTATTAGGGTCTTTGACTTCTCACTTAAAAATTTTTAGTAATTAAAGCAATGTTTGTCACAGACATTAGGACAGCAAGATTTGGATAAGCCTTTCTTTACAAAGTGAAATTCAAGTTTTATTAATGGCTTGTTATTGTGGCAGAATTCCTGGCCTATTGTATTGACATTTCAAAATAGAAGCATAAACAGAGAGCAATTATTATGTTTATTTTTTCTTTTCGAAGATAAGTAATAGCTTTCACTTGCTCACAAGTATCAGCACTTGCCCTCATGCATTTAACATTTAAATAAAAAACATAATAGTGTACAATAGAATGTATGTTAAGTGTCAAAGTAATTAGTGCAAATCAGAAAGGCTGTGTAGGTATCCTGTCTTGTTCACTCACTTATGAGAAAACATATGAGATTAGCAGGGAACCAAGAAAGAAACAAGCTTGAAAGATGAAGTATTCAAAAGCAGCCCGGAATCAGGTCACAGGGTCTTATGAAAAGGTTCTGGCATTTTTCTGAAAGCTATTGGGATTCTCTGAATGATTTTAAGCAAGACAATGACGTAGTTAGATTTGTATTTCAGGAAGATTAGGGTGGAAGCTTTGAGCACAGATAAAGGCAATTGAAGTAAGGGGAGATAAAAACAAAACGCTTTAAAGTATGAGAGAGGATCTTCAGGATTTCATACTTGGTAATGGAAGGAAGGGGAGTGGTAGTTAATTGTCAAGGTGTGGGCAATGGGGTGGATAGAGGATTTTCTCACCATTCACCATGTGAGAAAGATGAAGGAGGAACTAAGTGTGGCCAGGGAAATGATGAGCTTCGTGGAGATACTGAGTTTATGGTGCCTGAGGGATATCTAAATGTAGGTACTCAGCATGCATGACATCCATATGAATTTGTAACTCAGAATCGTATTATAGGATATCAATACATATTAGGCAGTTCTCAGAATACGGGGGTCTTAAAGTCCAGGACCATAGAAAATTTGCATTGTATGAACCGAATCATAAGAATAGCACTGAAAGGTGAAGATAAGGAGAAACAACCAGCTTTAAGCAGACAAGGTGCAGCTCTAGCTAGAAATTGAGAAAATAATAGAAGCGCAAAAGAGGGCACACAAGAAAATTCAAGAAAGAAGGAATGATCAAGATTACGGCTTAAGAAAGTTTAAGTTAAAAAAAAAAGAAAGTTAGAAAATTGCCCATTGCTTTTGGCAGTGTGACAGTTAATGGATGAAATGTTGAGACTAGTAGATGAACTTCAAAGCACCTTTTTAACACAAGCATTCTATAACTTAAAAACCCTCATCCTAGCAAACTCATTGTGGGAAGTGTGCTGTATGTGGACATTGTCGTGTTGTGCTGCTTCCCAGGTCACAGCTTGCTATTGGACTCTTTGGCAATTATTTTGCCATTGAGTTGATTCGGACTCATAGCTTTCCTGTAAGACCAAGTAGACGTGCACTGGAGGGCTCCCCAGGCTGAAATCTTTCTGGGAACTGAGAGTATCTCCTGTGATGTCGCTGGTGTGTTCAAACTGCCTGCCATTTGTTAGCATTGTGTTAACCTTCCCTTTTAGGGCTTAAAAAAAAGAAAGAAAAATCAGGTGCAAAAACACGGATATTTGGGCAAATCTGGAATCAAAATTCAAGCCATTAATGCAAGTGTCTTCACAACTTCAAAAACATACAGAAATCTTGTCAATTTATTTGAGAATTTGGGATTTAAAGTATAATTACATTCAAGAAGTTAGTTAAATTTGAAAACTACAAAGAAGCAAGATTGTGAATGTCTGAATCCCCTGCTGAATAATTAATATAATCTTAATCTGTATGTAATTGTAAGGGGACAGCATGAAGAAGGCAGAATTTCAGGAGTGTTAGTCTGGAACAGGGGTCCTCAAACTTTTTAAATAGGGGGCCAGTTCACTGTCCCTCAGACCCGTTGGAGGGCCAGACTATAATTTTTTTTAAAAACTATGAACAAATTCCTATGCACACTGCACATATCTTATTTTGAAGTAAAAAACAAAACGGGGCAAAAACACCCAGTGGCCTGGATAAATATTCTTTATCCACTGCAGTTTGAGGACCCTTGGGACTCTGGAATATATTGAAAAGAAGAATTAGGGGAGGTAACTTCCCAGAAATGAAGCGATTGTCTTAGAATTATTGTCACGGGAATGCCAGGAAAGGCACAGATCCTAATGCAATTTATAAGGAATTGTGACAGGCCATTGATTAGGATAAAATTTTTATTATTTTTGGTATAGGCAGTATAGAGCATTTACTACCACCCAGTTAATTCAGATTTATAGCAACCTTATAGAGTAGAGTAAAACTTCCTCCTGTGGGTTTCCAAGGCTGTTAAATATTTATTGGAGCAGAAAGTCTCATTGTCCTCCCATGGACAGCTTGATGGGTTTGAACTGCTGTCTTTGCAGTTAGCAGTCCCTCACATAATCCAGTACTCCACTGGGGCTCCTTAACATAGACCTTAGAGAGGAGTATAAAACAAAAAACCAAACTCACTGCTATCAAGAGAATGCTGACTCATAGCGACCCTCTGTGGGTTTCCGAGACTGTAACTGTTTATAGGAGTAGAAAGCCCAGTCTTTCTTCCCGGGAGCTGCTGGTGGTTTTGAACTGCTGACCTTTCAGATCACAGCCTAGTGTATTACAACTATACCACCAGTGCCCCTATTAATGAGTAATACAGTATAGTAAAAAACAAACCCAAAAAAGTGAGTAATATAGTAAGAATGAAAAATAGCAGAGAGAAATCAATGGTAACAATTTTGGTCATGAGGCTATATATAACCAATGTAGTATAAGTCTTTACATTTTAATTTGCATATCATAAAGGACATACTGCTAATAATATTTTTCTATAAAATTACAGGTCTCTACAGTATGGAAATCAGTTCATTTATCAGTCAATGCCACGAATGCTATCACTATGGCTTGATTTTGGTGCTAAGGCATATGAGTGGGAAAAAGGTATCACTTTTATGGAAAAATTTAAGAAACTGGAAAGAACATTCAGATTGATTAAAGATAGACTTGGTTGACAGCCTGAAGTACTAAAAGCTAGGGATGAATTTCTATGATTAGGATTTTATATACTTAGGAGAAAGAAACTAGATGTTGAAAAGGAAAGGAAAAATAAATCAAAGTTCAAGCAAGTTAAAATCTGCTCATTCCTTAATGAGCTTAACACATATTGACAAAGTTTAATTTAAACCAAATAATTTAAATTAAAAAAATTTTAAATAGGGACTTGTTCTGTTTGTCTCTACTCAATTTATCCCCTTAAATTTTTCAGTGACTAAACACTTTTCCTACTGTACTAAGCCAACTCTCTTGTCATAAATTGACAAACGTCATAATTTCTGAGTGTTGCTGCAACAAAAATACCAAAAGTGGATGGTTTTAAAGAACAATAATGTATCATATCCCAATTTGGGGGGGCTAGAAGTCTAAATGAGGGTATCTGGTTCACAAGGAGGGATTTATTGTTCTTACTCACTGCCATGGAGTGGATCCTGACGCAAAACTCTGGGCATTTCTTGGTGTTCCTGGTGACAGACCTCACATGAATCTCTGTTCCCTGGATTTCTGTGTGTCCTGACTTCCTTTTATAAGTCACAGCTTGATAATATCTGGAGATGAGGGCCACCTTTTCCTCATTAACACAACAGAATCAATTTGGACATAGGAATAACATGTTGTAAAGATATTTTTGAAACAAAACTATTCTGTGAAATGAACTAATATGTCCTTTTCCCCTTTATTTTACTGTTGTTTTAAATTTATTTTCCCAACTCCCTCCCACAGCTGGCCGCTCTGATCGTGTCCAAATGAGAAATGACTTGAGCAAAATAAACAAGGTGATCACAGAGCACACAAGTTATTTAGCACCATATCAGTTTTTGACTGCCTTCTCACAGTTAATTTCCCGAATTTGTCATTCTTATGATGAAGTTTTTGAGGTCTTGATGGAAATTATAGCAAAAGTGTTTTTGGCCTATCCTCAGCAAGCAATGTGGATGATGACAGCTGTATCAAAGGTAATATATTTATCATAACAGTATACCTTTTTGTTTTTTACATGACACTGATTATTTAATACTAATATGTAGATGTAACTTCCAGGGTTTCTCTCTTATATTAGAGTGGTACTAAAGCATACATTTTAAGTTCTTTAAAAAGAGAGAGATTATAGCACTCTTGTCTCATTTTAATTAGTATTCAGATACATTTACCATATCAGATAAAGTGATTCATCTGTTTAACATCAGATAACTCAGCCTCTGTTCTTTTTTCTTCTGTGTATTCTTTATCAAAGAGGTTAACAAACTGTTAGTATTAGATGTAACATGATAAACTATTTCTTTTCAAGTATTTTAATTTAGTGTATCTGAATAATTGGTACTAGAAAAAATTTTTATTGTATTATGGGGATTTATAAGTCATTCGGTATATGTAATATGCAAATTAAGAGTATTAATTATAAAGCTTATAGCAAAAAAAATAAAATTCGCCCCTAACATTCATTTAAATGTTGATATCATTCTTGGTGTGTGTATTTTACATGTATATGTTTTAACACTAAGTTTGGATTATTATAAGAATATGTAATTTTACATTTCTTAAGATTGTTACCACAACCATTTTCTTAAATCTATATTGTTTGAAGTTGTACTGCGTAAAATACATGTAGACACATCTATATTTATTCTCACTTCTGATTAGATTGCTAAAGGGTATTCATAGGATATTGTTTTGATGGCTCATGTTAGCACTGTCAAATTTGCAGGAAATTTGATCAGCATAAATTTTCATCAAGAATAATGCTATGCTTAAGTTGATTTTTGTCAATCAGAACTTTGGTTTTTATATTTATAAAACCACTTAACTCTTTTTTCATGACAGTCTTCTTATCCCATGCGTGTGAACAGATGCAAGGAAATACTAAATAAAGCTATTCGTTTGAAAAAGTCCTTAGAAAAGTTTGTTGGAGATGCAACTCGCCTCACAGATAAGCTTCTAGAACTGTGCAATAAACAGGTACTATCATAAATCTTATAAAACAATGGGATAATTTTAATAAAATTCCTATATTGTTTGAGCTATTTTCCTTTCACTTAAGTGAAACTTACATGTGGGTAAGCACACATATTAAAACTTAATGTGCTTTTAATATGTGCAGTTTTCCTCAGTAAAACTTTTTAAATTTGAAAAGTGTTCCTTTCCCAATTATCTTCTCAATTTCTTCTATATTTAAAAATTATTTATCTTCTCAATTTCTAAAGGTTTGTTGATTCTTCTGAGTAGATTAGTTATGAGAAATAACTTTAGGTAAAGGATATGAAGTAAGCCACAAAATTGTGTGTGTGTGTGTGTGTGTGTGTGTGTAAAAAATACTCAAAACTTTTGTCAAGCTGCCTTTATAATATTTTTTGCCATATCTTCAAACATTTTGAAACCCAAATATATTAACCTGTATATGTGATAGGACAGAAGGTTGAGGTTTGGGCTTTTCTGCTTTCAGAATCTGTTTCAGTGCCTTTGAAGGGATATGCTCTGTGCAGAGGGAAATGAATATGACTAAGACATGTTCCCTGCCTCATAGTTTTGGAAGGGTCAAAGATGAGGTTTGTCACTTAGTAAAATAACTACTTTTTTAATAGACCATGACGAGTGTGGGCATGCTGAAAAGAACAACACACTGTTTTACCTAAGAAATTGAAGGGGAAAACCCTAAAGAAATGGAAGAAAGGGAAAAGTAGGAGGATTGTTAACCGGACAAGAGAGGGTTGGAGAGAGCTTTTACAAGTAGATAAATTTCACTTGAAAACATTATAAGTCTGTTGACTAATTTTGGGTGAGAAAATGCAGGCTAGCCTATTCCTCCTTTTCATCAGTAAAAAGCTTGCAAGAGTAATCTGCCTTTGCTGTTTCTGTAAGTGCTATTTGATGCATTTGACATTACCAAGACAATGTGATAATGATGTCCAACATTCATTAAACACTGGCACTGTACTAAGCGTTCCACACGTACAGGCTTTATGTAGAAGCCTGTGGCCAGCTACATTTAGGAATTCAGAATTTTTCCAATTTCTAAAGATGCATATAATTTATACTCAGTATCCCTACTGAGAATAATGTAATGTAATCTAATCCATACGCAAACATGTAACTATTTCAGCAGTAAAACATGTTAGTCTTCACATGAAAGGGAAACCATGGTATCATTGTGCTGTCAAATGAGATTTAGTAACAAAAAGAAGCTTCATTTTGAGCCCTTTCGATTTAGTAATATCTGATAACAGATGGCAAATATCTATTTTCTCCACTAATTATTAAATAATCCTGTATTATAGGTACTAAATTAAATGTATTGAAAACTACAGACTGCTGAGCCACATTAATTAAGATACATAAGCAAAATTTTGTTTTGGTTGAAGTTAAATATCCTACAGTTCAAGCTAAACAGACAAAAATGTCTTTTTTTGTTTTTGTTCTTTTTAGGTTGATGGAAGTAGTTCTACGTTAAGCATGAGCACTCATTTTAGAATGCTTAAAAAGCTGGTAGAAGAAGCAACGTTTAGTGAAGTCCTCATTCCTTTACAGTCAGTTATGATACCAACTCTACCTTCAATTCTGGGCACCCATGCAAACCATGAACCATTTCCTGGACATTGGGCCTATATTGCAGGCTTTGATGATATGGTAAACTTCAGTTTTATATAACTGTAGCTGTGTGTCTTAATTACCTAGTGCTGCTATAACAGAAATGACAAAAGTAGGTGGCATTAAAAAACAAAGTTTTTAAACTATAACTTTTAGGCGAAAAGTCCAAATCAGAGAGTTTCAGTCATACCTCTTCTAAGGGCCTCTACCCTGCATTCTGGCAACAGCCATTAATACTTGGCAGCTCTTGAACTTAGTTCTGTTTGTCTTTGTCTTTTCTGCTGTTGAAGTGATTAGGTTTAGGACCCTGGTAGTACTATGGATTAAGCATTGAGCTACAAACTATAAAGTTGGTAGTTCATAGTCAACAGCTAATCCACAGGGGGAAAAATGAGACTTTTTACTCTCATAAAGATTTACAGTTTGAAAAAAAAAAAGATTTACATTTTGGGGGACCCTATAGAGCAGTTCAATTCTTTCCAGTAGGGTCCCTATGATTCATAATATACTTGATTAACCTAAGAAAAGAGAAACACTGTTCTTGAAAAAGATCACATTCACCAGGTACTAGGGGTTAGGACATCAACATAAATTTAGTTAAATTAGAAATGTTAAATTACAGCTAGAAGCGTCTTAAAGATTGAATTTTATTTGAAAACAAAAAAGATGATTAGAAATAGAAAAAGTAAAACTTTTTATAATTATGATAGAAAATTCAATGATTTTTTTTCTAAATTCTCATGTTTTAGTGGTACCATAATCATTTTCACAAATTTATTTTTTATATTCTCTTTTGTAAGTATGAACTATGACTATAAATTTAATTTAAAGAAAAGAGAGCATTCTAAGTACCTTTAAAATCTCTATATTTATTTCAACAATATTTTTATGGCTCAACAGATTTGTTTAATTGCTTTCAGAGCAATGTGTCAAGCTATATAATGAAGTTATTATTTACATTGATGCTGTTTTCATTTCTAAAATATTATTCACCATAATTACTCACCTCATTAGGTATACTTGATAGTGGATGAGTTTACCTTCTCCAAAAATCAAAATAATTTAAATTGGTAAACGCCATTAAACATATTTTAAACGTGTTTTAAGCTCTGAAAAAAAGACTTTAGAAGAACATTTCAAAAATCTTTTAAATGTTGTGACTATTCTTAATGGCTCTGCAAATGTAGATGTTTTAGTACTTGTATTATTGATGAAAGAATCTTTCCATAGCCATTCCTAATGAGTGGGAGGTTATAGATAGTTATGGCCAAAAAACATAGTTATAATAACACTTTTATAACCCAGTATAGTTATTATATCTTTATCTTTTTTATTTCTAGGTAGCTCAATACTTACATGTTTTAAAAATTCAGACTTTGTTTTAATGCATCTTTTAGGTGGAAATTCTTGCTTCTCTTCAAAAGCCAAAGAAAATCTCTTTAAAAGGATCAGATGGAAAGTTCTATATCATGATGTGTAAGCCAAAAGATGACCTGAGAAAAGATTGTAGACTAATGGAATTCAATTCCTTGATTAATAAGGTTTGAAGATAATTTAGTTTTCTTTTAAAATTTCAAAACCACTCAGTGTGATATCAAAATAGATGACTTTTAAAAAGGAAGTAGATGTACTATATTATTTTTACTGAATACTAAAAATAAGATTGCCTTTTTTGATAAAATTATGTAAAACATTGTGGAAAAATACTTAGATTTGCTTAGGTTTATATTTTAAGGTTAGTTAAAAAGGTTCAAATACTTTGATGTGAGAAATCTCATTAATAGGTTATAAATGTATGTTCTTATGTATTTTGAGTTTTCTGTAGTAATACATTAATAAATCAATACCTTGTGGTATAAATTTTTCCCACGTGTGAAAACCAAACTATACAACTGAAAGATGAAACTATTATTTGTGGACTCACTCACTCATTGTCTCACTCTCTCACTCACTGACTCACTCTCTCACTGCCTCACTCTTTCACTGCCTCACTCTCACTCACTGCCTCACTCTCTCACTGCCTCACTCTCTCACTCTCACTCACTGTCTCACTCACTCACTGCCTCACTCTCACTCACTCACTCACTGACTCACTCTCACTCATTCACTGTCTCACTCACTGTCTCACTCTCATTCAGTCACTGACTCACTCACGCACTTCCTCACTCACTCACTCACTGTCTCACTCACTGACTCACTGTCTCACTCTCACTCACTGCCTCACTCACTCACTGCCTCACTCACTCACTGACTCACTGTCTCACTCTCATTGTCTCACTCACTCACTGCCTCACTCTCACTCACTGTCTCACTCTCACTCACTGTCTCTCTCACTCACTTACTGTCTCACTCTCACTGTCTCACTCACTCAATCACTGCCTCACTCACTTACTGCCTCACTCACTCACACTCACTCACTGTCTTACTCAATCACTGCCTCACTCACTCACCCTCACTCACTGTCTCACTCACTCACTCACTCACTCACTCACTCACTCACTGTCTCATTCTCACTTACTATCTCACTCACGCACTGTCTCACTCACTGCCTCACTCTCTCACTCACTCACTGTCTCACTCCCACTCACTCAATCACTGTTTCACTCACTCACTGCCTCACTCTCACTCACTCAATCACTGTTTCACTCACTCACTGTCTCACTCACTCACTCACTGCCTCACTCTCACTTACTCAATCACTGTTTCACTCACTCACTGTCTCACTCACTCACTCACTGCCTCACTCTCACTCACTCACTGCCTCACTCACTCACTCACTCACTCACTCACTCACTGTCTCACTCTCACTCACTGTCTCACTCACGCACTGTCTCAATCACTGCCTCACTCTCTCACTCAATCACTGCCTCACTCTCTCACTCACTCACTCACTGTCTCACTCACTCACTGTCTCACTCAAAAAAAAAGAAACTATTATTTGTGTACAAACTTCATGCCTCTGTTTCATCACCGCTCCACATTTCACTAGTGCTTCATATTAGCAGGAAAAGTTATGGACTTTTTTTCTTTTTAATTTCAGTCCTGCTCTTTAGGACTTCAAAAGATTAGTTAAGAACTCTTACTTGTTCCTCTCCACGGAAATCTCTAGTAAAAGGCGAAAGATTTATACGATTTGAAGAGAACCAGAGTATATATTTATGGATGTGTTGCATAGAAAAATTATATAGTAGATGAGCTTTATTTATTTATTTAAATTTGAATAGCATTTAGTGATCGTTTTATTTTTTATTTTTTTCAGTATAATTTTAAAGCAGTTTTATTGGCATATCATTCACAAGTATATGAGTTTGTGTGTATGTGGTTATTTTTTGAAGCACAATATACTTTGTGTTTAATTTTACCAAAACATTACTTTGAAATTACCACATTAAAACTCATTTCAAAGGCAATATGAAAGTATTACTTGTTATATTTAAAATGTTATTTGATCCATTAATTCACTGAGTAATAAATCATTATTATCTTCCCAAAGCTCCTTGTGTATTTTTCTGGTTGGAGTGTAAATTAACGTGGTTTTAGTGTTAAATCTTACCTTACTCAATCATGCGTCTCAGCTGTCATCATTTGTATGTTAGTTTCTATTGAGTTGATTTTGACTCACAGAGACCCCAGAGTAAAAGCACCTTACAGGGTTTGTAGGGTTCCATTCTTACAGGGCAGACTGCCAGGTGTTTTCTCACCGAGCCGCTGGGTGCACTGGGACTGCCAGTCTTTCTGTTAGCAGCCACGCACTTAACCTTGTGTCTCCTGGACTCCTGTACCATTAAGATTGTCAATAAAACTTTATAATTGTGTAAAAGAAAAAAACAACTTTATAATTGTGATAAACCACAGTCTCTCCCAGTGCTGGTCTTGGAGCCACATAATTGATCTTTACAAGAAATTCAATTGCCATAGTGTTTTGCAGGTGTTTCGTTAGCTTACTTATTCCTAGATTGTAAACTGTGTTTTAGTCAGTGAGTGTGCTTTTAAAATCACCTGGTGACATTTATAGATGTGTACTTAGTTCAAGGAGCCCTGGTGGCACAATGGTTAAAGCACTGATGCTAGCTAAAAAGTTAGCAGTGTGAACCTATTAACCTATTAACAGAGAAAGATGTGGCAGTCAGCTTCCATAAAGATTAAAGCTGTGGAAACCCTGTGGGATGTTTCTCTCCTGTCCTACAGGGTCACTATGAGTCAAAATTGACTAGACTACTATGAGTTATTTGTTTCATGGAGCTCCCGATTAATTATAGTACTATTTCTCCTTACCTAATAGTCAATATTAATCAAATGAGGCTGTAGTTTTGAATTTTATAAGAGATATATTTTAGCATCAAAATATATATAGATAATATGATTTTGTTCCTATACTCTTGAGATAATCAAAATTAAACAAGTCTTTGTGCTTAGGGATTTAATGTTTCAATAATATCTGGAAACAATTGATGTATGTATGGATTGTGCAATTGATGTATGTATGGATTGTGATGAGTTGTATGAGCCCCCAATAAAATGATTAGAAAAAAAAAGTAATCAAATTTAGTGAGATATTTTTTAAAAAATGGATCTGTAGATATTTTGTTAAGGACGATTACTTGATCGGCTGTTCTTATTCTGAAGTGAAGCAATGCCTATTATTAAAATATGGTTAAAGTTCTAAAAAAGTAAAATAAAATAAAAAGATTAAACAAATGTCCTTTTAAAACTATAACAAAAATAATATCTGGAAAACAATAAAAAACAAAGTGATACTATTTTGTGTTGTTAAATATGCAACTAGTATTTTGAATGCAACACTCATATCTCTTTAATGTTGAACAATGGGAAAAGAATCCTTAAACATGATTTTTAATGACTTTGAAAATGAATGTGGCTACTAACCCAGTGCTATTGCCTTTTCTGCCATTCGGAAGAATTCTTCATCTATCTAAACCAGGGGTGGGGAACCTTTGTTCTTCCAAGACCCGTTTGGGATCATACATCATTTGAGGGTCTACCTAGTCAAGCATTTCATTAACTCACCCCGCATGTGATGGCTGGAACTGCTTCTCTGTGGTGAGGTGTGTGATGTGAGCTGGCATGAATGATTCTTTGGGCCTTACCTGGCCTACTGGCTGAGCATTCCCCACCCTTATCTAGACCATGCAGGAAGACTTCATTGACATTATTTTACTATGTAATGAGTACTATGTAATGAGTACTCTTTAAATGTACTTGAGAGAACATAAATTATTCTATTTTTTAAGTTATGTGTGTATTTTTTAACAGTGCTTAAGAAAAGATGCAGAATCTCGTAGAAGAGAACTCCATATCCGAACATACGCAGTTATTCCACTGAATGATGAATGTGGGATTATTGAATGGGTCAACAACACTGCTGGCTTGAGACCTATTCTAACCAAACTATATAAAGAAAAGGGTACTAAAATTAATTCTTATGATATAAGTATGTAATATAAGTATACTAGCTACTAACATGAGTATTGTTAATAACATAAAGTATGCATTTTCTGTTTTGATGCCTTGCATATGTTCTTTTTAAAAGAATTTCAGGTGGTTTACAAAAATCTAAGAAGCCCTGATCTACATGAATTTTTTTCTCCCCCACAGAAATCTTACCTAGTAGCTCTAAAACTACTTTTTATAGAAACTTTAGATTGTGGATAATGAGTCCCATTTTTGTCACTGTTAGGAGAAAGAAAATGGAGGAGGAAAGGCTGGCATGAAATTTGCCATTTTAGTAGGAATCAGAGTTGTCAACATAACCTAATGGTTTCAAAAGCATAAGTACAGATGAATAGCTACAGAAATAGACACACTTCCTAGCTTTGTCTGCTGAGAGCAGTAAGCATATCTAAGACTCATTTTCCAATAAAAGGAATCCTTTCTCTCCTTGGCAACATGATTAGTTCTGTAGTTTAGACATAAAAAATACAAGATGAGCCTACGCTTATCTTGTGGCACCAGAAAGTAAGTCCTCGTACATTCACGGGCAGGTTAAAAGGACACATGAGTCAGCCTGAAGAGGCGTCCATCAGCCAAATCTGAGATCATTTAAATTTGAAGCAACAAAACAAATAATACACTGTCTCACTCTCTCACTGCCTCACTCTCTCACTGTC